CTCCATAACTAGTAATCCAGGGGAAGCGCATATTCGTTGTGTCATAAGTTGGCAATGGACGGCATGCCTATAAAAACTGTGGAAATATAGCCACTGCGAACATAACAATATTTACAGTATTTACAAACCAATCTCCAGACATATATACACGTCAACACGAAAATGTTTCCCATATTTTCAAATTTTATTGAAGATCTCACCGCAGCTGGGCAAAGTAGATCTAGAAAGTCTTTATACCATGCAAAGTCAACACGTGCAACTAAAGTTTGATGTGGCATAATCCATGCATAAACTAAAAAAAATGATAAGATCTAAACACGGATAAGGCGACGAAAGTTTGCAGGTTGTGTACTAAAGTTTGCAGGAACTCATGGGCTTTGTTTATAGTTTGAACGACAGCGAAAATTGCAGATTTTGCGAAGTGATGGCATCCATGTCACTGAAAGCTACCGTAGTTTGGATCAAAGCTGTTTACGTTACAATTCACTGTGTTAAGTCATACTTTCTCTCAACTCATAATAATGGAAACCACACTTCAATACCTTCTCTTTAAATTATACATGTACAATATAACATGTTCACTCATCAGCCTTTCACTACAACCCTTATTGTATTGCAAGTGTTGTGAAATGTTGGGACGTTGTTAATATTGGAAGGGTTCTGAAATATGAGAAGGTTGTAAAGTGTTGCGGAAGGGTGTGGAAATGGTTGGGAAGGGTTTTGGAGTGTTGGAAAGGGCTGTGCAGTGTTGGGAAGGTTGTGGAGTGTTGGGAAGATTTGTGGAGGGTTGGAAAGGGCTGTGGAGTGTTGGAAAGGGCTGTGCAGTGTTGGGAAGGGCTGTGGGGTGTTGGGAAGGGCTGTGTAGTGTTGGGAAGAGTTGTGTAGTGTTGGGAAGGGTTGTGGAGTGTTGGGAAGGGTTGTGTAGTGTTGGGAAGGGTTGTGGAGTGTTGGGAAGGTTGTGGAGTGTTGGGAAGGGTTGTGGAGTGTTGGGAAGGGTTGTGGGTGTTGGAAGGTTGTAGAGTGTCGGAAAGGGTTGAGCAATGTTGGAAACGGTTGTGGAGTGTTGGGAAGGGTTGTGGAGTGTTGAGAAGGGTTCTGCAGTGTTGGGTTCTGCAGTGTTGTGCAATGTGGGGAGGGTTATGAGATGTGGGAAGACCAATGGATACTGCCTAGCCAACGTATGATCTGCTTGGAGATTACCCACGTGCACAAAGTTGCCAGACGACTACGAAGTGACAAGATAAATGACATGGTGGACAGATCCATCTTTTTGGGCCTATATAACCAGCGACTATAACTAACAGTCTAGATTTAATCATCTATGCTATAAGACAAGTGGCCTGTACGTTACAATATGAGACATGAAGTGAACATACCAGGCTGGTTTATAATTAAAACAATAGATTTTGAACTTTTAATGAAACAAAATTGCATTGTTACATTGAAAAACTTAAAAGAACTAGGAAGAAAGGACTTTTTCAACCGTTGGGGCAAATGGGTGGTCCCTTCAGCCGTTGAGGCTGATTTCCAAGGGAGCCCATGGAATACAAGAATGGAACATAAAATGATAATAATTAAACGTAACAGAGAAATTCGAAAATCATAAGTCAAAATACAGGATGTATGTACTAGTAATTGGGCATGCCGTTGGTTTGCCATTATGTCCGTGATGATGCAATATTTTTTTCTTTTTTCCGTGTCAGTTTTTACATTGAGGTAAATGTATGTAGCAGAAACACCCCCATGTTTACAATCCTGTGGAATAGGCTGTACCGTTGTCGGGTAAGCGAGGTTCTATAAGCAGATGTTAGGTGGTTCTTTGGTATAATCGTTTGCGAGTATCTGTTGTGATTGTGACTTATGATTTGCACCTATTACAATATCTTATCAAATAAATGTTATTGTAGTAAAAAAATGATATTGTAGTAAATGAAAGATGTTGTCATGAAAGATGACGTTATACATCTGTTTATCGTGTTGATTTTATCGGTATTTGCAAAAATAAAACGTGTCGCCTATGGACACAAATCATAATTTTCAACTTCCTCTCGCTTCTTGGTAAGGCCATGTTGATTTGATTATATGGATGACATCCGCGCGCGCATGAATTTTCGGCCGTTTAAAATAGTTTTCAACCATACTGTAAATCGTACAAAACAGTTACAAAATGAACAAATATATACCGTAAGTTAAAAAAAAATGATACCAATGTCGTAGAATGCCAAAATCAAACGAAAAATTCGAAAATGTAAAGAAGTGAATTTGAAGAGTATATCATTCGCCATGTCATTTGTTCAACCTTCATAACCACGTAGTTTTCATAATTAGAGAAACTTTTTTTTTTGCCAAACTATTTTTCGCACGCTCGCATCAGTTTTGGGAGCGAGTGAGCGAGTGACGCGCCACGAGTGACACGGTGCACCGTGCCATATGTAGATGCCTGAGGCTATTGACAGGATCGTCCTGTCAACAGCAGGAAATACTGCACTGCTGACAGGATCGTCCTGTCAATAGCAGAAAATACTGCACTGCTGACAGGACGATCCTGTCAATAGCAGAAAATATTGCACTGCTGACAGGACGATCCTGTCAATAACAGGAAATACTGCATTGCTGACAGGATCGTCCTGTCAGCAGTGCCATTTTTGTACACTGTTGACAGGATCGTCCTGTCAGCAGTGCCATTTTTGGCACTATTGACAGGATTTTTTAAATCTTCCATTTTGGGCTCTATTGACATGATTTCTTCTTTGTTTTCATTTGTTTAACCAGTCAGAAGGCATATGCTACTGTACTGCAGATTAGGCGTTTCACGATGGCGGCTATCATCATGTTAACAGTTATCAATACAGAGTACTCCAGCAGATATATGTCAAAACTAGACATGTTCAAAATATAAATACAAGCGAATTTCATGCATAAGCTGTCTGAAATACGAAGGCGGTTACATAAGATGAAGACAATAAAAAAGACAAAAAGAAGTTGATCTCTATCCATTATTTATTCTTTCAACAACTTCGAAAATCAAATGGAACAAGAAGCCATAGGCGACAATTCTCCGTGAAGTATTATATATTGCAACAAAAAGAAGTAGCCATTGGCGACAATTCTCTGTGAAGTGTGATAAATCGAACAAAGAAAAATTGTTTAAACGCGCGTCGGCTCAGTCATCTTAAGACGCAACAACCAATCAGAGATGCGAGATGCCTACACGTGACGCGGGAAGGGCGCGCGATGCCCGAAATATTTTTGCGTCAATATTCAGCGCCGTGATTCAAGAGATTAATACCCGGAAACAATTTTTTTCTTGTTTTGAACGCATTAACATGCATTTACGCTAATCTAGTATGATTCAGGGTTACTTTTTTTTTAACCTGCCATGGCCAGATTAA